AAAGAATAAAAGAATGAAAAAATGTCCCTTCTGGACATATTTACAGGAGCCAAGGGCTCAATGGCTAGCCCATAGTAGCTAGCAGAGGAACGAGAAATTGATGGAGCACCAAGCAATGGAAAATAGGATCTCAACCACAGTTGAGTGAACCAAAGACGTCCACTGCCAATGGGAGATGCACCATTCTTCAATTGAGTTTGAAGAGAAGCTATGCCTCTATAAAGGGCAGCCAAAAAGAAAGAACATAAATTCAAAGGCCTGCCACGCGCCAATTCGTGCGCTATGGGTAAATAACTCAGGGAGGGCTTTATACTTGGCACCCACAAAACGTATTTACAAAGCCAAACTAGAAGAAAGGCCACTCGCTCAGTATGGGAAGGCTCAGCGCTCGAATGATTGTGAAGGGTTTGCAGGCTTGAATAAGACTCGGTGTAGTTTTTACCAAACTTTGGGGCGCCACCAGAAACCAAGATACCAGGAAAAATGGTATCGCCCAAAGGTGGTAGATTCACTAGGGCCCCAACATCCCTTAAACTAATAGACATGGGGCCAAGAGGGAAAATAAAGGTATTATACTCGGAAGACCAAAAACTCAAAGCAATCGAAAAAAGTGTTGAATCAAAAGTAGGGGGACGAATAGAGATTTCTAACAAATCAGAAATCCTAACATTATCAAAAAGTGTCTTAGTAGGACCATGACCCACTAGACGAGCATGCCACCTACAGAAAGCTACATCAAATTTAGGCCAAGTACGAATACCTCTTTCGCGAAGTGGCCCCAGCGGCAGAGAGTTTAGAAATGGAAGGCCTTGAGTACAAGGAAACAGCTGACCCATCGTCGCCTGTTCAACTGCCTCTGCATTGTTGAAGAAAGGATCTAAGTAGAACTCATTGCGTTCGACATCGGCGGGCGCGAGAAAACTCGCAGTTATGTATGGACGACTCAGAAGTTTCTAAAAGTCATCAAAACTAAAGGAGTCGCCAGCTTGAGATTGTGAAATAGCCATTTGAGATGGAACGAAGTTTTTCAGAGTTACGTAGCAGGGAAGCAAAAGATGAACAGTAAATCGTGGGAGAGACGCGAAAAATTAAGGCGTGATTTAATGGTGCAGTGAAATGGCGTGTTTGGGGGTTATAAGGGTTTGCAAAACGACGCACCTTTTCAATTTATGGAAGAAAACAATGATTGAAATTCTTGGGAATCTCGAATGTTGCTGGAAACACAAAGTGAATATGGCAAAATTTAATAATTATTATTAATTCTGCCATATTGGGGGGTAATTGTTGACACATAAAAATTCAGCCTAAATCGAACGGTCCAAGGAATGAAGCCCAATTGGAGGATCCCCAAATCAGATAGCCCAAAGAACGAAGCCCAATCAAACAATTCAAGATGAAGGCCCAAATAGGGAGGCCCAAGAACGCGGTAATGCCATCGCCCAAGTTTGCAAGTCGCCTAGAATCTGAGCGAATGGAGTGCCATGCAGTCGCCCAGAGCCGTTACTTTATTCTCGCCCAAACCTTCAAGTCGCCCAAGGTCTTAACAAACATAAAGCGTTGTGGTTATCAAGAAGTGCAGTTATCAAAGCAGTTATTAAAGCAGCCCTATCACGTTACACGATTCAAGGAATTCAATTGAAAATGGTTGAACGACGAAGAGTAATGACAGCAGTTAAAAAAGGCAGTTTTCATGACAAGCTGGTCATTACGAGGAAAGTAGGCAGTTGTAGAACGATCAAGCAGTTTTTAGGCGGTTGATCACAAAAAAGATCATCCATGGAGTATAAAAGGGAGAAAAGACATAGAGCAAAAGACCAAATCAAAAACTCTCGAACAGAGAACATGTAATTTTAATTTCTTTAGTTTAGACTTAAACGCTTTTTTCAGTAACTCGTGTGCTTGCGCTCTTTGGAAACATTTTGTTTTTGATTTCCAATTGTACAGTCATCGTCAATAAAAGAACATCCCTTTTTGGAACTTTGTCTCAAGAGATTTATCCCTTACACAATCGTCTAATCCCTTTTAATTGTTAGCGACTAACTCGCGCGAAACAAAAAGCAAATCTATCTTTATAAAATGAATATGGTATTTTAAAGAATAAAAAATATGCGGGAATTGAAATTACGTTGCGTTCAGCATGGATAGGTTTGGTGCTTGGAAGATGGTTAAATTTCATCCACAGTCACTGAATTTTCATAGAAATCTTAACTGGGTCACTAAACTTGTAGAATGATTATAATCTTTAACCGAACTACTTGTAGTAAGCAATTTTCATCAATTTGAGGATGTCATGTGATGGACTCGTGCAATTTGAAACTAAAATAAAGTGATGGTTTATTCAATTCAAAACTTACGATGCGATTGGTTTGTTGTTTTCAATTTTGCAAAGCACTAAAAATGAGTTTGTTCCAATATTTTTAGAAATACATTTTTAGAATCAAAGATAAATTTATAACTTAAAGCTCAAAAGGTATTTTTGAATTTTTTTAGTATTTTCAATGAAAATTCCGAAAACATTCAAAACATAAAAAACAAGAGTTTAAATAATATTTTATTTAAATAAAATTTTGACAAATAAAAATAAAACAATAAAAAAATAATTTCAAAAATTAAAACATTAAAAATAAAATTATAAAACTTCTAAAAAATTAAAATTATAAAAAGTTAATCAATAAAAAATTAAATTAGTTCAAGCTCTTAATGATTAATTACATAAAATTCTAAAAATATATTTATGTGAACATAGATAAAAATGTTTTTAGCCCACTTCATTAATTTTTATTTTTATTTCATAGAGAGAGAAAATATTGTCACATTCACTAACTTTGAAATGTAATATTACACACTAATATATTAACATAAAACTATTCTATTTTTATTGAATAAATGTTATAAAATAATTTTTCAAAATTCCAATCCGAACGTATTTTTTTCAAGTTTTCTTTTCTAAAAAAATAAAATAAATTCAAAATGACTAATTAAACTCATTTTTAGAAATTTTAAATGAACCATTAAAGCAGAAAACTAAAAATAACTTAAAATTCAAAATTGAAAACTGAAACACCAACGAAACAGACCCTTGAGTAACGAATTAAGATTTCACTGAAAGTTCACTAAGGGCCTGCTTGATTTGGCCAATTTTCCATGGAAAACATTTTTCATTTTCTGCCTTTTGACTTGTTTAATTGCAAATTTTTCTTGGCAATTAGGGTTGAATTTTACATCAATAAATATTCTTTGTTTACAAATTAATCAGCCCAGTTCCATGCTTCAATTTAAGTACGTCTCAAATTGGTGATTGAACATCTATTCATTTATAATCAATCACTTAACTTCAATCGGAGGGTGCATAATGCCTCCCAAAACTGTATGGAAAATCATATGTGGCCATGTTCAAACATTGGGAAGCATTGAGTCAATTGCAATTGTCAGTTGGGGACTTCAACGTAAATATTGAAAATATGTTTGTAGTTGGGAAAGTGATGAATGGAAGATTAATAAGAGTTAAGAATGACAATTCGATGCTAAGAATTAAATTGGGTATCTTCTAATATTTTTAAAAAGTTAGAATATAGTGAAGATAAATTTTGGAGACATTTGCTTATTTGGGTTAAGGGGGTATTTGATAGGCATTTTTATGTAAAAATGCATTTTAGAATAGTAAATTGATGTGAAATGTGTGGTTGAAAAATAAGAATTTTTTTTTTATTTACGGTGTAATATTATTTTAATAAAGAATATATAGTTGAAAAAAAGAGAGAGAAAAAAGCATTTTGAAGAAAATAGCTACCAAACGGGATTTAAGTATGCAAATATTGATAATGTGAGAATCTGTATCAGTATGTCATTATCTGGCTCAAATCATAGCTCATATTTAATTACGGAAAAATTGCAGCAGCGTTTCCTAACTTTCACTTTTTTACGAACTTTACTCTAACCTTCACTTTGTAATACCCACAGTCTCAAATCTTTCAAAAATATGCAATTGAGGTCCAAATGGATGGAAACCGTCATTTGATCATTAATTGACTAGAAAAGTCTATTTGGATCAAATTAGAAAGGGTATAACAGTACTTTGTATTTTTCTAATTATTAACAATTAAAATAATTAAAAAAAACAAAAGAAAAGTAAAAAGTCTGCAACCAACCCCGAACCCTACCCCCAAACCCATCCCCCTGCCATCTCCTTCATCTCTTCACCGGAAAATACCAAGGCAACGCCACCACAACTTCTACTCTCTGTCGCCAACGCCATTTGGTAAAACCCGTCTCCACCGTTGTTACAATTTTCCTAAGAAAAATCACCGTCCACGCCCATTCGCGATGAACTGCAGATCCACTAATTGGCTGATTCGAGGAGAATTGATGAAGACCCATCATGTGCATTGATAATAATATAAACTATCTAAAATCAATGTATTGAATCAATTCAAAGAGAACAAGAGAGAAGAGAAGAAGTTGAATGAAGGGAGAAAACCACAATCTATTAAGGCAACAACTAACTAGAGTTTTAAAATGAAATAAGACTTATTTTTATACTACAAGGAATCCTAAAATAATAGAAAACCTAAAATAAGGAAATAAATAAATATATAAATATATAATATCATCCCTCCTCAAACTCACGATGCTAAAGCAAGAAGCAGCGAGAGTTTGTCATGTAAGAAGCGAAAATGATGAATTGGATGAGATTTAGTGAAAAAATCAATAAGCTGCAATGATGAAGAAACAAAAGGTAGGAAAATGGTGCCAGTCTACATATGATGTAGAGTTAGATGACACTCAATCTCAATATGCTTGGTGCGCTCATAAAACACAGAGTTACGAGAGATCTGAATAGTACTAGTATTATCACAATACATAGGAGTTGGGAAAGAATGAGGAACACCCATGTTTGCAAGTAACTAACGTAACCACACAATCTCGGTGGTAGTGGATGCCATAGCTTGATACTTTGCCTCTATAGAGAAACGGGAAATAATAGTCCGCTTCTTACTTCTCTAAGAGATAAGAGAATCACCCAAAAATATACAAAAATTAGTATTAGACTTGCGATCAATGGGGTCGCTGGCCCAATCAGCATCAGAGTAGGCACGTAGCACTAAGGAAGAGGTCGATGTGAACAAAAGACTTTGAAAGCATGTACCACGAAGATAACGCAAAATACAAACAACTGTTGCCCAATGAACTGTAGTAGGAGTTGAGACAAATTGACTAACAATGTAAATAACATAAGCAATGTTAGGACGTGTGATGGTAAGATAAACGAGACATCCAACAATAGTGCGATACAAAGTAGGATCAGTCAATGGTATATCGTCAGATGAGGAATATCGAGCATTAGACTCAAGAGGAGTATCAATAGTTTTAATATCAGTAAGGTGGACACGCTCAATAACATCCATAGTATACTTGGACTGAGAGATAAGATAACCTCTAGGAGAAGAAGCAACTTCAATTCCCAAAAAATAAGATAGTGGACCCAAGTCCTTCATTTCAAAACGACAAGCTAATTCTAATTTCAAACCTACAATTCCATCAACATCTTCATCAGTAATAATCATATCGTCAACATATAACAATAATAGAACGTGACCAGCTGAAGTGCATCTAAAGAATAGAGCGGAGTCATGATGATTGGATATAAAACCAAGAGACGTAATAAAGGTGGAAAATTTCTCAAGCTAGGCACGAGATGCTTGTTTGAGACCATAAAGTGCTTTCTTGAGCTTACAAACAAATCCAGGAGAGTGAGAGAGACCAGTAGGGACCATGTAAACCTCCTCTTGAAAATTTTCATTTAAAAATGCATTTTTGACGTCCAATTGAGAAAGACTCCACTGACGAACAAATGCAACTGCAATAATTGTACGAACAATGGTCATCTTGGTAACAGGAGCAAAAGTCTCCTCATAATCCAAACCATATTGTTGATTAAAACCTTTCAAACCAATCTAGCCTTATAGCGCTTAACTGAACCATCAAATTTAGTTTTAATCTTATAAACCCAACGACAACCAATAGCATATTTACTTGAAGGCAGTACAACTAAATCCCAAGTGTATGTCTTCTGCAGAGCAGAGAATTCATCAGTCATAGCATGTTGCCAAAGAGGATCTAAAATAGTTTCTTTATAGGAATATGGTTCAGATAACTTATGAATAGAGATTAGAAAGCAGCAAAAGGACTCAGAATAACAAGAATAAACAAAATCAGGTAACTGAATGAACTTACAAATACGTTGAGAATATCGAGAAAAAGATGAAGCAAGAGCAGGAGTAGGATCAACAATCTCAGGCGGAGCTTGGGAAGCCATAAAAGAGGGAGGCGTATCATGACTTGGAGCGAGAAAATCTCCCCAATGGTTACTGAACTTTGCAGAAAATCCCCTAGGAGGTCACCGAACTTCAATACGTGCCTAAATAGTCACTGAACGTTGTCGAAAGCCCCCAAGAGTTCACCGAACTTCAAAACATTCCTGAATGATCACTGAACTTTGTCGAAATCTCCCAGAGAGGTCACTCAACGTTGCAAATTGGGACCCCATACATGACTAGTTTAGTGACCTCCCAGGGACGTTTTGCAAAGTTCAGTAACCATTCAGGGATGTTTTGAAGTTCGGTGACCTCTTTGGAGACTTCGAAAAAGTTCAGCGACTATTTAGGAATGTATTGAAATTCGTTGACCTCCTATAGATTTTTCTGCAAAGTTCAGTGACCATTGGGGAGATTTCCTCGACCTGGAGCATGTGCACTTGTAGGACACAAAGAATCAACAGAACATGGGGTATAGGAAGGTGAATTGTTTATATCATCAGAGAATGGATTAATATGAATGAGGTCAGTTTTGGTCACGTCATGAGTATTATTAGGAATAGAGAAGAATGAAATGTGCTAAAAAAACACGACACAACATGACCAGAAATATATAATTTATTAGTTATGGGATCAAAAAGTAATAACCCTTTTGCCCTTACCCATAACCTAAGAAAACACAGATAGCAGAGCGAGATGTCAACTTACTACGGTCAACTTTATGACGAAGAAAAAAATATGTACAACCAAAGACTCTCAATGAGGAGTAATCTGGAGGATGCCCACACAATGTTTCAAAGGGTGATAAACCTGAATTGTGGGAAGATGAAATCTTATTAATTAAATAAATTGTAGTGAGAGACACTCTCCCCAAAATTCACTGGGAACTTTGGCTGACAAAAGAAGTGAACGAGTAGTTTTTACAATGTGCCTATGTTTTCGTTCGGCAACATCATTTTGTTGTGGAGTATTAGTACACGAGGTTTGACGAATTGTGCTGTCAAGAGCAAGCAATTCAGAGAAATCAGTTGAGGTGTACTCTCCACCCAAGTCACATCTAAAGCATTTAATTACTGTGGAATGTTGAGTTTTAATAAGGCTCTAAAGGATCGATAAATAGACAGAAAGTCAGATCGTCGTTTCATAAGATAAACCCAATAATAATGACTATAATCATCAATAAAAGATGCATAATATCGAGACCCTCCTTTTGTAGCAATAAGAGCAGGTCTCCACACATTAGAATGAATAAGATCAAATGGTGTAATAGAATGAGAAATACTTCGAGGAAAAAATAAAGCAGAAAATTTTGTTAATTTGCAACCACTACAATAAAAAATGTCATGAGTTTGTATATTTTCCAATTGACCCTTAGAAACTAAAAATTTCAAACGACCAGCAGAAACATGTCCAAGGCGAGAATGCCACAAATAAAAATTAGAAGACAAAGAATTGAAAGAAAAAGATGATAAATCAACACTAAGGGTTGCAATATGCGATGATTTTAGATTGTCCAGAACATATAACCCTTCTTGTCTACAGCTTATCTCAATCAGCTTCTGAGATTGAGGATCCTGCACATGACAAGCAGTAGAAAAAACTGAAATAAGTATCCAGAATCGCACAATTGGCCAATAGAGATAAGATTCAAAGTAAGAGTTGGAACATAATAGACATCTGAAAGTGATAAATTATGTGTATTAATAGAACCAACACCTGCTAAAAGTAATGACGTACCATTAGCAGTCATAACAGACATGGGCGAGTTAGAAGGACGCAAGTTATTAAAGAATTTTGAGTTAAACGACATGTGTTTAGAAGCACCTGAGTCAAAGATCCATGAGGAAGAGATATCTGAGTGACTCTATGATGACAAACCTACATGAGTGGAGGCTGACATAGCATGTGGTTGTGGAACTAAGAACTTCTGAAACTGCTCTGCTAAGTTCGTCAACATGGGATTGGAGGAAGGTGGTGCTCCAAGTATGGATGAATCACTAGGTGGCATGGTGGCAACTGTGTTAGCATTAGGACGATAAGATTGCTGCTGTGATTGAGGTTGCTGTTTCTTCAATAACTTATGACATTGTGACTTTCAATGTCCTTTTTGTTTACAAAAGTTACACTCGTCATTGGCAGCTCGCACATAACTTTTATTCTGATTCTGTGTGGACAGTCAAGAGGGTATGGCCAACACTGATGTGCTAGATGGAAGAAGAGAAGCTTCTCTCGCAAGAGATTTCAAATGTATTTCCTCAGCTACAAGTTCACTAACAACCAAATCAACTGAAGGAAGTGGAGTACGATGTGAGATAGAGCCTCAAAGTCCTTCAAAATCACTGTGAAGTGCCATAAAAAACTGAACTAATGGGTGCTCCTTTCTAAAAGTAATATATTCCTCACATGCTTTCAGTCCTGTTGATTCCGTAAAAGCCAACTCATCCCAAATTGAATTCATAGTAGCGTAAAACTCAAGTATACTCATATCTTTTTGATGTAAAGCTCGTATATCAATTTCTAACTGATACCGCTTTGCAAAGTTAAACTTAGTATATAAAGTTTGAAAATGCTCCCAAACTTCCTTCGTTGTTTCAAACTTCGCTGACTATGTACCAATAGATTACAGAATTATGAATCCAAGTCAGAATTTTTGCGTTGTTTGACTCCCAATTATCTAACTCTGTTACATAATTTTGAGCAGTGTTCTCCGGTTTCACAACAGTTCTACTGACATAACCCCACAATCTTTTTCCTTTGAGAAAATTTCTCATCACTGTACTCCAATATGAGTAATTTTTACTATTTAATCTAACACTAATGGATTGAAGTGAGTCATCTCTTTCGGATGCCATCATAAAGTCAATAAATGATCAACTACGAATCAACGAAATCACCTAATTTTTAAAGAAAACGACGATAACTAATGTACCACCACAAACCACAATTGAAAAATACTACATAATGTACGTATAATCAAAGTAACACCACCAGAAGATCAAAAATTTACCAAGGAACAAACTATCTTTTGAAATCACCCAGAATAACCTACCACGCGCCCTCAACATCATTAAGCGTATCATCCATGCGCCTCCGCCACGCGTCACTGTTAGCCTACACGCACTTGATAGGAATCTGCGTCTCAATTTGCTGAACAAAGATCCGGCCTTATTTTTCCAATCAGTCTATGGTTTGTTAGGAATCATGATTTTTAGTTCTGATCGATTAAGTTTTTGGCACAAATTTTATTTGTCTAATTTCTGCCTCAAATTCCAGCACATCCCAATAAATTTTTTTACAAATTTCACTCAATTATCTAGTTCGATACCATGATAATAATATAAACTATCTCAAATCAACGTACTGAATCAATTCAAAGAGAACAAGAGAGAAGAGAAGAAGTTGAATGAAGGGAGAAAACCACAATCTATTAGGGCAACAACTAACTAGAGTTTTACAATGAAATAATACTTGTTTTTATACTACAAGGACTCCTAAAATAATAGAAAACTAAAATAAGGAAATAACCTAAATTAAGGAAATAAATAAATATACATTATCATGCATCTTCTTCACCATGATGAGTAGAAGCCAATGGTGGTGGTGGTGTGCGATCATCGTTCGTAATATCGGCGTTGGAATTTGGGACAGAAGGTGCGTGGTTCACTGCCTTTGGATATTACTATTTTGTTTCTGATTTAAATTGTTTCTTAATGGTATGGGGCCATGAAACTTCTAGTCTAGGGGAGTATTAATAGTCTATAATGAAGTTAGGCTATGGGTTGAAGGCCAGAATTGGAGGAACGGCCATGTGTAATGACATTTTTTTGGGAGTGAAATTGGTCTAATTTCGATTAGTTATTGCTGTTTTTTGTATGGGATTGTAAAGTGGAATGAGGAGGTGTTGGTGGTGTCAAGATCCTGTGGTTTATCCGACATTGTGTGGTGGTGGCGATGACAATGTTGACCATGGTGTGGTTGGGTTGGAAAGGAGGAGGAGGAAGGGTTATGGTTGGTGGATATATTGAAATATATCATTATTTTATTTTTTTATTATTTTGTTTAAGTTTATTATTAGGAGGGATAGATGAGAATTAATAGCAAAAGTAACATGTTGCCCTTTTTAATCTGATCAAAATTAATTAAATTTTGACTTTTTGGTCATTAAAGTCAAAACGGATCCATTTGGATCCCATGTGCATATTTTTGAAAGGTTTGAGACTGTGGGTGGCACAAAGTTAAGGTTAAGGTAAAATTTGTAAAAAAGTGAAAGGTTAGGGATCGTTGTTGTAATTTTTCCTTTAATTACGTGGAGATGACGCAAGAAACAGTTGATTCGAACATTCTAAGTAGTTCAAAGAAAACTAGTGTTATTTATTTAACAAGGACCAAATTATAGTTTTAGCGTGTGTTTGAACTCCATTATTCCAATTTTTGCCAACTTTCCAATTTTTAAACAGTAAATTAATTGTTAAAAAATTGCAAGTAGACAGAACTGTGTCAAGTCTTTTAATTGTTGCTAAAAACGTTGAAATAGCCCTTGTCAAAACATCCTCATTTTTCGTAAGTAATTTCCAAAAATAATCCTGCTATTCAACGTTTACATAGCGTCCCACCATTTATATGAAGGGTAAACTAGGAAATCAGATTTGGGTACTTGCCACAACTCTCCAAGTCAATCATGGATGGAGTTTGACAATTCATTCAATGTGGCCCCCACAATGAAGAATATGAAATTGGCAAAAAATTGGAATAATGGGTCAAACACTCGCTTAGTTTGACTTTCATTTTAGGGTAAATTAGATTTGAGATAATTATTAGGGACAGGAATTGACCTCCATCCCATAGCAGGCTATAGATATTTTGTCTACCTCACCAGTGGTTTAGTAGGCATGAGAACAACACACATCTCGCCACCTCACCAGTGGTTTGGTAGGCAAGAGATCAATCCTGCCTTTAATAATTATCTCGAATCTAATTTGGAGTCCATTAACATCTAATTGAGATTTGGTGAGTTCGAGCCATAGTGTCTATTTAACTTTAAGAATATGTTTAGTAAACTATACCGTATATCATCACACAAGATAATAAGACAAGATTTAACTTATTTTCTTATTTTCTTCAATAATCAACCTTTATTCAATCTAATATATGAAGAGCTTTTTTGGGAGTGATTTTTTCTTCCAAAAAATTGATTTTTTGACTGTTATTTCACTATTTCAACGGCCATATTTGACTTCATCTCTCACAGATTAACCCCACTTTTCTCTTAACGGTCAAAAAATCAATTTTCAAAATCACTCCCAAACAGGCTCGAAATATCGTAACTTGAAATTAAAAAAAAAAATGTTTTAGATATAAATATTGCATAAGTTTTAGCAAGCATCTTGGTCAAGTCAGTGGGACTAAAATAGGATTGCTTAATACATTTTTCAGATAACCAACTGGCTATCATTTACTCACCCACCCATTATCTTCAAATCTTGAATTGTTTTAAAAGTATTATACCAACTGTGATTTTGATGTGCTGAATTGAGACAATTTATCTACAAAAAATCTTACACAACACACAATCTTCCATAAAGAACATGAATTTGCTTAACCTTAACTACATAAACACCAATATATCATTTTCATTGGATGCTTATTAGACTCGACCTGGATAAGAATTAAGCCCTTGTTTGATTTTCATTACATTACATTCTATTTTTGTCTCTCCTATTTTCAACCACACAATCTTCCATAAAATAATATTACACGTAAATCAAAAATTTTTCTTTCTTTTTCAACCACTCATTTTTCAAAAAATACTATTCTATACATTAAATTTTCCCCGTAATGGGGGCCAAACAGGGGCTTAGTATTAATCAATCTAGTTGAACGATTTATAATAAAAGAGACAAGTCACTGACTTTAAGATTTTTTTTATGAAATTTGGTAAAGCAGTAATTTCTTAAGAGTAAGAATTTTAAAGGAATGATTGTTTTCTATAAAAAATAAAAAAAAAATAAAAAAAAAAAACAGAAAAGAGAAGAAAAATTTGCATAGTTGGTCCCTAACTGATTGCTCCAGTAGAAAGTTAGTCCTCAACTTTTATAAGGAGACAGACTGCTGATCCTGACAGTTTATATAACTTCATCAAATTAGATATCCTAGAGCACCGTAAGGAAACTCTAATAGCATCTCAAATCATGGTATAAAATAGATCTAAATTGTGATTTATATTTTCAAAGTGGACAGAAAACTTCTCCACTGGAGGGATGCAAAGAAAATGCAAATTGCATTTTTCGATAGAAAATGTGAAAAAAGATGTTACATTCATAAGAGACAAAAATTGAATTTAAATATTTTCAATGGAGCAAAATTTGAATTTAGATCCATCGGAATATAACTGAGAATGTGAAAGTGGTTTTAGAAATATTAATTTACACCCAATTTTACACTATCATTGAAGATACTCTAGCTTCATCAATTTAGGCCCTTGTTTGGTCTCCATTATTTTCAAAATACGTTATTTCTCTTATTTTAACTACACATTTTTCAATAAAATAATATTATATACAAATTAAAAAAATTTCTTATTTTTTAGTCATATATTCTCTATCAAAATATATTTTAAAAAAAAAAAAGATTCAAACATGCTCTGACTATAATGCATGGATGTCAAAGCTGCTACTATTTGATATGGTTGACTTTGACAAATTGTGCAAAATTGCCAGAGATTCTTGCTTAAAGACTGAGCTGTGTTTTTGGTACTTGGGTCTTTGTCGACTACTTAACAAGTGGTTGACTTTGACGTTTAGCTAAACCATAAATTGTTCTTCATCCCACTCTACCAAGCTGGGTGACTAGATATAAGTACTCTGTCCAATGAAATTAATGACTAATAATTAGTACGGCAAACTGGTATTTTCATTCTAGTTATAACTAATTTCACATGATTTTTTGTATCTAATTTGAACTTTGTTGTGTGTATAGAAAATATACGCACAGAATGGACACAAAACAGTCACAACAACATGGTGGGTTTTTTTGCATTATTTTATTTACTGAAATCCACCTCAATGTGACATTTCTGTAGATTTTCTGTGAAAACATTTTCTACACATGGAAAAATTCATCTAATTTTTACATTAGGCCAAGTGATAATATTGTGTTTTAGTGTTAGAAAGAAAAATTAGAGTCTTGTCAAGTCTCTTTAGACAAGTCGATCATGATTCGAAAAAAAAAAAAAAAGAGTTGAGTATCTTGACTTGGATTTACTTGCATCGTGCTAAATAAAATCAAGAGTAATACTATTAAGTTCCACCGATGTTTAGCATTAGTTTAAAGTATAATGCATTTTTATACATTGAACAATGTGACAACAACTTACTATCAAATAAACGACTAATGAGAGTGAATAACGGTATTCTAAAACCAATATTTACTTTGTCATTCTTAAAATTATTACGAGAATACGATGTACTTGTAGCTTGCTTAATCATACTTAAAAGTTATTTGTCTAAATATTAAAAAAAGTAACACCCACAATTTATTTGTTTTTAACTACAAAAAGTAGTGAGTCCCTCAATCCCAATACATATAATCACTTATAAGCCAATTCAATCACGTGCACGAGGAAGAAATAAAAAGGAAAAAAGAAAAACTCAAATGTATATGTTTAATAGTGCTTTAAGTATTTATAATCTAAGAGTTTTGCAAAATATAAGTAATAAGTGAGGAATTAGTTATGAATAATATGGATATATTTAATAAAAACGTGTTGGATTAACTTAAGAAAAAAGTCAAGCTCTGGCCACTGCCATAAACAAGAAAATTTCATGAAGAACAAATGTCTACGCCAGCTGGAAGTATCCAATTAAAAACTTAAATATTACATTACATGTCATATAAATTGAAAAAAAGGTTAAAAAAGTTTTGGAAATTTCAAAGATTCTTAAAATACTACGAAACAAAATATTCCACGAGGTTAGCCCACCTAAAAATGCCAGTAAATATTACGAAAAATTCAAAGTTACGTCGGTGACGGTTGAAATAAACAGTTTCCACATCCAAATTACCCGCGATATCTATATATGTACGAACAAATTCAATTACACATCATTATTAGCTATGAAAAGTCCATCGTTTGGTGGTGGCCGGCGCCGGAGTTCTAGTTCTGGCTTACCGGAAAAGATGACCCACTCTCGGAGTTCATCTAACTATTCCTCTTCCACTGCTTCCACCTCTTCCCATAAGTCAACCACCGGTTCCACTAAGAACCCCGTCAAGAACGCTGCCCGTACCATGGCTGACGCTTTGGTGGCTTGTTTTACTCCGCCGGAGACGCCCAAAAACTCCGTCAACTTCAGTGTTTCTTCAGGTACGTCATTTGATTCGAGCTTATGTTTGTGTTTTCTGTGTTTTGCTGATATGTGTTTGTGATTTTGTCGAACGGAAAATATGGTTCTTGAGTTGACTGTCTTTGGTGATGTGCCCAAGATCTTTGTTTTTTTATTTTTTATTTTAATGAGCCTGTGAGAATTGATTTTTCTGGTCAGATTTTTTCTTGATTTTCTTTTAGATTTTTGTTTATTTGGTTTTTTTTTTTTTACTTTATTTTTATTTTTTCCTGTTGATAGAATGTGACTTGAATGGATCAGAAGAAAATAGGATTTTCTGTTAACATATCTTTAAGATGCATTACTCTTCCTAAATTTATTTGCTTGATTTGCTTGTTTAGGATTTGATTTTAACATCTCTGAAAACTAATTGGTGTTCGACAACTAAACCTTTTATGGCATTCAACCATGGACCAACCCATGGACTTAAACAACACGTCGCTCCCTAACTAGCTTTGATACCACTTGTTAGGATCGGATTTCAACAATCTCATGTGAAAACCAATTGGTGTCCTGGGAGGTCAAGCTATACCTTTTATAGAATTCGACCACCATCATTTGAGTGACACAACCCATAGGCTTAAGAGCAGCATCGTTACTCCCCAACAGTTTCACACTATATTCATGGTGGCATTGGCTTAGCAGTTATACATAAAATCTTGTAACCAGTGTAGTTTTGCTCGTTTGATGGATTTGTTTTTGATGGAATTGGTCCATTAGAAATACGGAAAATGGTATTTCTACTAAGAGCAATTGCTTTTTCTGACATTCAATTTCTTCTTGTAAAAATGACATGCCAAGGAGAACTAAGGAAGTAATCAGGTTGATGCATATTTTGATGGCTGGATTTATTCTTTTGCTTTTATGTATCTTTCGTAGGGATGATTGCATAAGACTCTATAGTATTATGCTAAAAGAAAAAACGTTAAAATCACGTTCATTATATTGTCTAATACCATCTAGCGGTGTGTACCAAATATGCACTAGAGGGGCAAGCAAACTGCATATAGTGTCATGTATGAAGCATATCAAAATCTTTTTCTTGATGCGAAACTGAAGAACTCCAAGGAACTTGGTGTATTCCATTTTGATAACCAGAGAACTTTTTGGTACATTGAAAAATCTATGCCCTTTATGTAATGAATTAGAATGCAAGCTGAGGTGAAGTAATTGTTTAAATGATCAATATTTAGATAAGTCGGATGCTTCAAATTCTGGTGGCGAGAGGAGAAGTGGTTCACATCGGGGCATCTATGGTAGTTCCTGTAATTCAACGCACATAGGAGACCCAGGGAGTACTAAATTCACCATTGAAGAAATCTACAAGGCCACCAAAAACTTTTCACCTAGCTTCAAAATTGGACAAGGTGGTTTTGGGACAGTCTACAAGGGTCGACTTGAGGATGGAACTTTGGTTGCAGTTAAACGTGCTAAGAAGGTTGGAGGTCCACAAAAATGAACTTGCATCTGAAATAAATAACATTGACTTTACTGTCACCAGTTATTGCAGATTTTGTTTTTTAAGGTTCTTCTCTGTGTGCAGATTGTCTATGATAAACCTTTAGGTACAGAATTTCAGAGTGAAGTTCGAACACTGGCACAAGTGGAACATCTAAATCTAGTTAAATTTCATGGCTATTTGGAGCAGGAAGATGAAAGGATTATTGTTGTTGAACATGTTCCAAATGGAACCCTTAGAGAACACTTGGACTGTGAGTTCTTTCTCACCATATTGTACAATTAGCCATCATTGTCTATGATTTCATTTTACATCTTGAATCCTTGATCATGTTATACTTAGTTTCATTTTGAGTAATTTAGTGCTCGTTAAAGATAATGGAAGATTCTGGGTGTACTTTTTGAGTTATTTTCAACATTTATTGTGTCATTCTCGTAATTCCTAGACAGAAAATGTTATAGGAATTCTCTCATTCCTTTCAGTATTTTTTTTCTCAAATATATTCTAGCCTATATTAACATGTGATTTACTGATCCAGGTGTGCACGGTAATGTTCTTGATTTTGCTGTGAGGTTAGATATAGCAATAGACGTGGCACACGCAGTTACCTATCTCCACATGTACACAGGTATGAATTTTGTTAGCAGCCACATTAATTAGGTTCTCAGGAAATTTAGCTTCAGTACTTGAGTTGCTCTGTATGCAGCTCATCCTATCATCCATAGAGATATCAAGTCTTCTAACATTCTCCTCACGGAGAATCTAAGAGCTAAAGTTGCCGACTTTGGTTTTGCTCGGCTAGCAGCTGACAGTGAATCTGGAGAGACACATGTATCGACCCAAGTTAAAGGAACTGCTGGCTATTTAGACCCAGAATACATGAAAACCTACCAACTTACGGAAAAGAGTGATGTTTATTCATTCGGTGTGTTACTAGTGGAACTAGTCACAGGCAGGCGTCCAATTGAGCCAAAACGTGATCTGAAGGAACGTATTACCGCTAGATGGGTATGACCCTCTCTCTAATGAGCAAAACTGCAGTGCATGATGTTAAAATTGAGCAAAACCCATTAAGTGGAGGATCAATCCTTATTTTTATTAATTAGTCCACAATTTTCATATATGGATGGTGGAAAGACTTAAACGTAAGGCCTTCTCTAATATTATATCGAACTACCTCATCGAAGGTTTAAGCTATTAGAGATGGGACACACTTGTTTGTTTAGATTTAGTCTTCAACATCCACTTGGATGATTTCTTGAACAAGGAGATTATTTTTCTGTGCCTCCACTAATTTTAGAGGGGGCACAATAGAATATTGGTTTATGTTTTCTCTGGTTGATTTGAATTGATTCAAGTGCAGGCTATGAAGAAGTTATCTGATGGAGATGCAATCTTAACTTTGGATCCAAGGCTACAAAGGTCTCCTGCAAATAACTTTATAATGGAAAAGATTCTTGAAGTAGCCTTGCTATGTTTGGCTCCTCATCGACGTAACCGACCTCCCATGAAGAAGTGTGCCGAGATGCTTTGGAGTATTCGCAAGGACTACAAAGAATTCTCAACTTCAGATATCCCTTCGCTCTCTTCGAATGCTCAGAGAAGTAGTTCAATCAGAGAAGAATAAGCAAGCCGGTGCAAGTATTTTCATTCACGTTACTTGCTTCCATTGAAAATACAGAAAGAGTACTGAAGATGGTAAACTAGCATACAATGTCGTAGTGGGAAGCGAAGAAAAGAGAGAACTTGAAGGGTGTTTGGCCAATTGCAAAGATGATGAAGTGATATTTAGTTCATGATGTTTGGCTTCTGCATGTAGGAAAATCTTTTGATAGATTATATTTTGCCTTAGGGAATTGTATTTGTTGATTTCAACAGTATTTTTTCTATAATAATCCACCTGTGAAATTTGAGCGGCTTCTTGAATTTGGTTCGATTTACATTATGAGGTTATGAAGTTTGCTGATCCTTGATGATTCACGATAAGTCGAAGAATTGTATGTCCCTATAGAGTGATAGAGGGCAGGACATACCGGGCCTCAAGGGAGCCAGGGTTGGCCTTTTGCCATCCCTAGTGCTCATAAACTGATAAGTTGGAACCCTGCTGCCAAACAAATAAAATTAAATAGAGACAACATTGCAATGTGGTTTGTAAGTAAAGAACAAATGGGGCAATTTTCTCGCAAGCACAACACACTTTAGAGCATGTTTACCTAAGCTTAAAAGGCTTGCTTATGAGTAAATTAGTACGTATAGCACGTGATTTTATAGTAATGAATTTCAAATAAGTATTCAAGTTAAGACAAAAAAGATGAACGACTCTTGAACAAAATCATCGATAATTGAATGTTATTATGAAAGTCTTTTTTTTATTTTGAGCTCATAGTTTAGCTGCGTAACAATGAACTCACCAAAAAAACAATAAAAAAGAAGAAAGAAGTTAAAGAATAAATTGTAATCATACTCCCAAACTTTTTAAAAAGTGCAAATGAGTCCACATAAATTATTAAAATGTAATTAGCACAAAACGTCCCTATCTTTCATTATTATGTGCAAAACGTCCCCACCTTTTATTTTTTGACATTTTCAACATTATTTTTATATTTTATTGCAAAAATCATTATTTTCATCTATTTTTTTCAATTAAAAGATGTAAAATGACAATATACCCCCATCTTTAAATAAACAAAAATAAAGAACAAATTGCAACTATATTCCCAAATTTTTTTAAAAAAATTACAAATAAATAATTTAAAAAACAAAAATCACTTTCTTTTTTAATTATTTATTCAAAATTTATTTGTACTTTTTTGAAAATATAGTTGCAATTTGTTCTATATTTTTCTTTTTTATTTTTGTTTGTTTAAAAATGAGCGTTTATTTGTTATTTTACAGCTTTTAATTTAGAAAATAAATGAAAATAATGATTTTAGCAATGAAATATGAAATAAGGGTGAAAATATTAAAAAATAAAAGGTAGGGACGTTTTGAGCAATAATAATGAAAGGTAGGGATGTTCTGTTAGTAAAAAGTTTGGGAGTATGATTACAATTTATTCTTTAACTTTTCTTTTCTTTTTTATTGTTTTATTTAAATAAGGGGTATTTTGTCATTTTACACAAGAAATTTGATGTAATGGATGATTTTCACAATAAAAGGTAAAGATAAGGGTAAAAGTGTTAAAAAAAATGAAAGATATGTACGTTTTGTACAATAATATTAAAAGATAAGGACGTTTAGTGCTAATTATCCATTGAAAACACTAATATATATATCATTTATTGCCGTAAACCTTCATAATAGCTAAGTGTTGAGTGTTTTAATGAATCATTGACTTATGGGTACCATAGAAACGTTTTATATTTTTATATTTAAAGATATAGTGAAAAAGAACAAATAATGTGCATCACTATTGTCAAGTCATGTCACATTTGTAAGATAATAACTTTTACCGCAGGAAAAGCCAAATCGATACACCTCCAAGATTAACGACTTCTATCCATTTATTTGTTTCATGTTAATTTTTAGTTAATGAAACTTTATTTGACTTCTTGCTTAAGATATGAAAAATAACTTCTTAAAATTTTTTATTCTATGATAAAATTAGCATGGATTAAGAAAGTCTTAAGCTTGGCTTATATTATATAAGACTGCAAAAAAACTAAGTTCTCAATTATAATCTAACAACAGATATTTTACTTGGCAATTGCTTGAGGCAGAAAAACTTTTATATTAATTATTGTTCTCGGTTCAGTTGCGTATGGGACTTTTTATTCAACCACAATTAAAGAGAAAATTGCAACCAGGGTCTCAACCTCTTTTTTGTTCACAAATTTTAGGGAAAATTGCAGTCAAGGTACCAAACATTTCGTTTATTAGCAGACTTTGCCCAAACCTTTCATTTGTGCCACATCGAGTACCAAACTTTTAAAAAATGTGCAGTTCAAGTCCAAAATGATGATTTTCGTTAGTTTAACTACCAAAACCGTCAGTTGACCTCAAAAATTAAAAATCTGTTAATTTTGACCAAGTAAGACAAGGGTAAGATTGTAACTTAATAAAGGTTTATATAATTGGCTATATATTAATAATTTAACAATAAAATATATAAATAAAAAGAGAAGATTAAAAGCACCCAAACCTCCTTGCACCAAAGTTGTCGCCGTCAAAACCCAAGTGATTGACCGCCGCCACCATCCAGGCCGTCGAACGCCACCACCACATAGGTGATTGATTGCCATGACTATCCAGGCCATCGGAAGTCATCACCATCACCACTACCACCCAATAAAGAAAGATTGAAAGAGTGACGGATTTCTTTACTTCATATCTGAAAATTGAAATTAATTTTGAAATTAGATTTGATTTTGAGGTTTTTCTATTATTGTGGTATAAATGGTTGTTCTAGTGAATGAAAGTGGCGGTAGCGGAGGTAGCAGCTTGATGGTGACGACGACATGAATGTTCGATTGCTTAAGAGGGCTGAAGGTTCAATTTCTCTCTGAATGCTCGAGTGAGTTGCTGCTTTTGAGGTGGGGTGATGCCTAGTTTTGAGGAGGTGTTGGGCTGGAGGTTGTGGCTGTGATGTGGATGGTAATGGGTGTGGCCGACGAAGAATATGGATTTAGGTGAGATTGAAGCATAATTTGAATTGAGGTGGTGGTGGTGATCGACGGGGGGTAGGTAAGTGGTGGATGGCGAATGATAGTTCATGCTATCCTCGTATCCATTGTCAGTGGATGGTGGATGGTGTCAGCATTAGGTGGGGTGAGGTGGAACTATTTAGTGGTGGTGTTTTTGGGTTGATAGTGGTGGCTGTCGATGGTGGCTGTGGCGATTGGGTGGCGTGATTTTGATTTTGGGGAAGAAGATGGGTTGTAGCTTTATTTTTTGTTTTTTTAATTTTTGATTTATTAGAAAAAATGTGTTTTATCCAAAATGCATCTACCTTATTTAGGGAAAATAATAATTTTATTTATTTATTTTGGGAGTCAACTGACGGTTTTGGTAGTCAAACTATGAAAATCGTCAGCTAAGACTTGAGCTGCACATTTTTTAAAGGTTTGGTACTCGCGGTGGCACAAATAAAAAGTTTGAACAAAATCTGCTAATAAACGAAAGGTTTGGTACCTTGGCTGCAATTTTCCCTAAATTTTATCTTAATCTTTAATTTGTGTCACCCACAATTCCAAACTTTTCATTTTGTTGCAGGACAAGAAAAAATGGATGGATTCCATCAATTTGACCGTTAGTTGATCAATAAAATATATTTTGACCAAACTATAAAGGGCAGAATGATAACTTCATATTTTTTTCACATAAACAATTTAAATAATTGAAAAAAAAAGAAAAAAATAAAAGCGTCATATTCTCCCTACTCGACCTACCCCCTTAACCAAAAATGGGAAAACTATCCCCTGCTACCAACTTTTCATCGAATGCCAACTACCCACCACCACCGATCATGCCATTGTCGATCGCGCCACTAAAAACTACCTTTTTCAATTGCCATTACTATTACTGTTGGCATACATGTTTTCTAGCGAACATCATATCAAACTACCACTATCCTTCGATGGTTGTCCCAACCCAAAAACCTTCATCACCTCATCAACAACTAGCTCTATTAAGATTTGACCTTGTGCTACAACAAAACGAAAAGTTTGAGATTATGGCAGACATAAATGAAAGGTTTGGATAAAGTCTGTGAAAAAATTGTTTAAGACCGTGGATATAATTCTCCCATAATCAAGGTTCGGAAAAATAAAATAACCATATTGCATCTTACCTTTCATATAAAAGAATCCACAATTCATAGATAGTGAAATATTTCTTGCAACACCATGTCCACAAAATAAGCAGCCATTAAGATATTCACCTCATACATTTCATGAGTCATATTGAATCAAGAAACTTGACATAATATTCACGAAAGGCATTTTGGATTATGCGTTCATATAATATATTTTTTGTAGTAAAATATCCTTTTATAGTCAATAAATTTTGTTTTTATGTATTGCTATTATCATTGAGCATGCCAAAAAGTGCATGTGATCACTTATGATAATATAAGTTGGGCACATTCGTTGAGAAGTTCAATGTGAGACAACTAATATTTTGATCATAAATATATTGTTAACAACTAATATATGAGAGTTGACACCTTGTACCGAAAGTTTGTAGTGTTGATCATTTTGCCATTCATGTATTCAATTTGTCTTTATTGTAGAAATGGTTTAATGGTGACTATAACACATTTGGAATGTAATGAATGGACCGCGTGTTGAATTTAAATATATAGAAAGACTGTGTGGAGAATTAAATATCTCTTGATCACCGAATATTCCTTCTAAATTCCTTGATAGGATTGTGGATATGATTTTGTGAGTTTGTTGATTCTTGATTCATCAGTGGGTGAGAATAATTTGAATGATCAATTATTTCAGTGAGTTAGGAGCTTGAGAAAAAGAAAGTAGAGAACACGAGTTTGCGTTAAAATCGTCACCTCGATATTGTGTGGAGTGACCGTTTAAGTATTTTTTGCTAAATGATTATAAATCTTAATTCAGCATTTAACGATAGCCAAACTTCGAAATATGTGATTGCTTTACATGACTGTTGAAGAATTGGATCTTGAATGATAATGAAATATATACAATAGGTAAGAGAAAAATACTGCACATATATATATTTTAGCTTCTATAATTTCATATATTTCAAGAGTGCAACATTTTTGTCTTTAGTAGAAAAGGCAAAGAATATTAATTAGATTGAATAGTATAGGGTTGAACTAGACATGATCTATATATATAAGATTTGGGGACTTCTTACAATCAAACTAATTATGGCCTTATTAGAATTGGACATGAAGTGAACTTTGTTTCCTATACGTAGACTAAGAGATGCCGATTTTTACAAAGAAAAAAATGACTGACATTTT